ACAGAGCATAGAATGGTAGTCAACTCTTTACCTGTACCTAAACTTCATCGACTTTGAAAAGTCCTTCGATAGCGTCGAGCGAAAAGTAATTTGGCAGGCGGTTACTTCAATCCTACGGTTTTAGTACCACTAACCTTAATCAACCTCATTCAAAAGCTATACACTATATGATGACACTACATGCCAAGTGATTTACAATGGAAAACTAAGTGATGCATTTGAAGTTAAGTGAAGAAAGGAGTAAGACAAGGTTGCCGCCTACTATTATCGATGATCTCCCTGATTGTGGTCGACTGGATCATGCAACAAACTGTGAAGAGTGAGGAGATGGGCACACGCTGTTTCGCCGATGATTATTTATGTCTTGTGTTGCACAAACTCGAAGATCTACAGGCGAAAGCTAACAAGTTGGTTGAAGAAGCAGGGCAGCGAAGACGGGACTCCCTTCAGGTGGACATAGAGAAGACAGAGGTGATGAAGATATCTAACCATCAACAACGATAAGCACTAATCACTACCGACCGAAGAAATCTGAAGGAAGTTGCTTCTTTCAGCTACGTAGGAGGCAGCATCATTTCAACTACAGGTTGAAGATGGAGATCGGATGGCCAGAAAGAACAAAGAAGGAAGGACTCTAGCCTGGCAAGGAACCAATCAAATATGTCAAACAAATATGCATAAGAAAGTGGAGATGGATTGCTCATGCACTGAGAAGACCACTTGGAAACATCACACTTCCGGCAAGGCCGTCGATTTAAAGGCAAATGAGAAATGATGAGTTGAGTGTCCGAGGATGACATGGAGGAGATGGTGTGAGAAAGAAATGAATGTTAGTTGGCATTCATGGAGCCAGGTTCAAAATACTGCAGAGAACAGAGTGGAATGGAGACGTGCTCCTGAAGCCCTATGTTCCACTAGAAACCCAAGTGAGAAATAATAGTAATAATAATTAAACACGCCAAGTACTGTCGCGCACTTTTAAAACACCTTTGAACTGCCATTTTTTTAAGCTAAATCAAAACAAAGGATAAACGTTTCATCGATTAGGGATGGTCTTATAGACTCATAGAAATACAGTACATTACTATTCCTTGGAAAAGCATATCGAATCATAGATTTTGGTACTGGCTGAATAAACTAACACCATCAAACTACACTGAATTTTCTTTTCACTCATCAGTCCAAACCAGATGCTAATGTAATACCGGGTGACTGTTTCACAGTGTGACTTTCATTACTGTTATTATTGACATAATTCAAATGCAATGATTATTTCACTTAAAGATATTGTACAGAGAATGAATCCGCTGAACTATTACCTGCTGAGGATTCCATACTGTTAAGAACTATTTAATATAGTTAAAGTGCAAAGTACTTTTGCGAGATTGGAAGAAGCCTGTGCCTGGACTCACCCCCGGTGGTGAACCGTTGGAAGTAGTCGAAACCTTCATGTACCTGGCTAGTTGTATAAGTGCTTATGGATGTGTGAGTGGTGAAATTTCCAGCCGTATATCAAAAGCCAGAGTGGTATACGTGAGTATGGGCCACCTTTAGGGCCATTAAGACGTCGGCTGACCGTAAAAAAAGGATTTCCAACGCCTTGATGCAAGCAGTTCCGCTCTTCGCCTATGAAACCTGGCCTCTCCTAGCTGAGGATATGCGACGACTGTGTGTGTTTGGTAATTGTTGCCTTCGTAGGATTACTCGTATGCAGTGGCAACACCATGTAAGTAATTGTGAGGTAAGACAGTGTGTCTTTGGGCATGATGGCGATTGTCATTCAATAAATGAAGTTATCTGAAAACATCGGCTTTGGTGGCTTGGACATGTGTTATGTATACCATCCCAAAGGTTTTTTTCTATGCCGTTCATTGTTTGCTAGTTATGGGACTGGATGGAAGAAGTGGCGATTATGCTGTAGCTTTCTTCTATCTTCTAGTCATGCCATTCTCATGGTTTTTTCTTTCTTACTTATCCACTTTCCTTAGCTTTATATCTGTACAATGTTGTTATATTATTTTGTGTGATGCATTTCTTGGTGGCCTTGATGTACCACCTATCTGTTCTAATAATAATAATAATAATAATAATAATAATAATAATAATAATAATAATAATAATGTAGTTTCAAAAAACTGTATAAATTGTGACTGTACACCTATGGAAAATGAAACCGCCTAAAAAGGATATCTTCGTTGATTTTCTTTTCTCTAACTATTCAACTTTGTCAATCCTTGTGTTCTTTATGTATACATATCAATTGGGGTGATAATTTGAATGTAAACCATATCAATGGATTAGTGATCAGATAGCTAATGTATACAGAATGTGAATGAGCCAAGTCAATTGAGATAAAATGAAAATATTTAGTTAACGTTTGCAATTTACTGGAAGATTAACTGAAGTAACACCAGAAATTATTAAATATAAAAATAATAATATTGATAATAACAGTATGATGCTCCCCCGTCTCTGATTCAGTTAGATTTGAATTAGGACGAGAAGTCCTGACTGATGGTCAGCCAGTGTGAATAAAATCAAGTAGTAGTAATGCGTCATGAATTCATATGGTAGTCGGGTGATACAACCGTTGGTGATTGAAGTGAAATAAAAATGCGGTTAGCAGTCGAACCTCCTAGTTCAGTTGGTACAGCATCAGGCCAGAAACCTAGTGATTGCTGGTTCGAATCCGACTGCGGTTCAGATTTCCATCTCACCTTCAATCATCAGTCAGTATAGATAATGACAACGATAGAGTAGAAACATTATTTTAACAAAGTGAAAATAAAAAAAATATGAATCATCATCCAGTCTCTACTTGATACTTTTGAGCTTGTGGATTGCACAAGAGACGAAGATTTATCTAATAAATGTATGATATCACTTGGTGTCACATCATTTTTCACCAACGCTCCACTTACCGAGACTATCTCACTCTTATGCAGATACATTGAAGATAGCAACATAAATGTTGAGATACTGACTTCCTGCCTTAACCGAATGTTATTTAGATGAACATTCAACATTCAGTTCAGATTTAACAAAGTGATTTATAGACAGAAAGATAGAATCGCCATGGGATCTCTACTAGGTCCACTACTAGCAGACTGTTTTATGGCCAGTTTGGAGAATGGACCTTTAGAAAATCAACGATTGAAGGTTTTGAAGCGTACGAAAGGTACATAAGTGGTACTTTTGTTATCTATGATCATCAATATGATTTGAATCATGTCCTATAGATGTTCAGTAGCTGTCATTCAGCAATTAGATTCATCCTTGAGGTTGAAAGTCGATCGAAAATTCACCTTCTTTATGTAGAGCTGACAAGAACAGCTGATTGAACATTAAGTAGATCAATTCACTTTAATAGGCTAATTCTGATCATATCTCTTGCCACTCTTATTAGGCGAATCTGTACTCCCGACATGTTAGACGAAAAAATTTCTGTTTCAAAGAACATCCTGGTTAGGGTTAGGGTTAGGCAAACACATAAAACCCGTACCTCGTAAAGAGAATCTTACCGTCGTGCTAAAAAAGATACTCTAGATGAATCTAAACTTCAACGGTGATTCTGCCACTGAAATTTTAAAAAGGAGGATATCAAACGTTTCAGGAAAACATTCTATGCATCAACGCTGAGAATAGTATGCTCTTGTCCCCCAACGATTTCTAACAACTTTAAGGAGAAACTTTCACCTCTCACCATTTCTATGTACATATTTCGATTCATCTGCTCCTGTGAAGCCAGGTATATAGGTCTTTTGATACAACTGTTATCCAAAAGGATTCAAGAACACTATCCCATGTGGTTACAAAGAGGTAACAATGGAGCGATAAGGAACGCTAAAACTGAATACATCGTGAACACGAATCATCCTTTCTCAACAACCTCCTTGTTCAAAGTCATCTATAGAGTGAAAAGAAACCTTCCAGAGGATGTACGTCTTCGTATTCTGTACATCACCGAAGCTCTTCCCATCCATATGAAGAAACCTGAACTGTCTACACAAAAGAAGATTATTCAACCCCTTCTCCTTTCGTGGTCTCATCTATCGCTCCACTTTCTTTTCATTTTTCAGTTTTGACACCATTCACTTCTTAAGTAATATGCTACTCATTCTTGTTTCTATGCTCTACCGGATCACAATTCATTTTCCAGTTGTGTCGTCATGTTACGAAACTTCTGTAAACTTATTTGATTAATATCCACTACTCACCACAGTTGTTTTGGTTTTGTGATTTTAATGACAGCACATTTATTGATACTATTTGTGTTACCTGTCATGTTTTACAAACCGTTTTTAACTTTCAAATCCTTGAACTAGAAAAATGCATAAATTTTGCGATTGTACAGCTTTGAAAATGAAATTGCCGAGATGAGACTCTTGGCTGAAATATACTTGTTCTTCTTTCACAATGAAGCTAAAGAAACCAAGACAAATCTAACTCAGGTCAAGGTAGAGACAAAAATGTTAAGTACTTCTTTTGCACACAAATGGTAGGCTTCAGTTGACGGATCAACAATGCCTCCACTATTGTCACAGATTGAAGAAGGAGAAAAAGCAAAATATATGAATGCAAGGTGTTTTGAAGGATGATACTTTACACTTTTATCTACTTTTCCACTTGAAAGGAAATTGATTTTACTTAAACCTCACCCTGTCCATATCCACTTTACATTCAAAACTTGATTAGCTCATTAAGAAAATTCAAAGTGTTATGTGAACTACTTAAAATATGCATATTTGTAGTCACGATTCATTCTACAAGTAGTTACCTCATTTCTCCCACACCAATAGTCAACGTTCAATACTGTACAAAAGTGATCGATTAAAACAAACATTCCCAAATATTCTCATATGAAGAAATAATTTCATTGTCACATTTTTATACAACCCGTATATTTTAAATATATAAGTAACAGGTAGTTTCATTCTTCCACACTGGTAAAGCGTAATCCAAGTTTATTAAAAATCTTTCGGTGTGGCATCTAAGATTTCATGAATATACCATTAATAACAAGTAGGTGTATACAAATTTGTTTAAATAAAACCTTAATCTGCTGTTTTCATTGTAGTTGTCCTGTTAACAATGGTTTCCTCAAAATATCACCCTTCAGTCGCCATACTGTTAGACTTACAATCAAAGAAAGCTCAACTGGATAAAATGTTAGCAAGTGTAAATTGTTCATGGATGAAGCCATCAGTTGTATGTCGTGGACATTTACTTAATAGATCATGTTTTAAATATGGATGTACTAATTGTCGATGTATTCAACTAGAAGGTAATAAAACGCTTACACTGCAGTGTTATCAACCACTGGAGATTAAAGTCTGCACTAGACATCCTTATTTAGCTTGTACGATGAATAGTATTGCATTACAATGGTCAGAGTTTACTAAATACCAATGTGAATGGTAGTAAACTTGAAAGACAATCAGAATTGTTGCTTTTTATCTCTTCCTTTGATGTTTTAATAATCTTTAAGGTTTGCCAACATCTTACTGGAAAATACATTTTTAATGTCTATCCAAGTATATTTCTGATACTGTTCAGTGGAATTACTTCAGGTATGTAGCACCTATGAAGTTTCGGAGTTTTGACACATCAAAAAAAACGTACTACATTATGGATGAGCTCAGCTGAGAATGAGCGAAATGGCCATCCAGTATATGGATCACTCTGGTCTGGATGTATGACGGAATCAACATATCAGCTTGAGTGGTTTCTGACTACGCAAATTGTTCGAAATTTTGTTAGTTGAGTAGATTCAATCATGAGAAAGACTTGAACCTAGGTTTTGCTCTTGGCGTATCTGTAACCTGGATGGAACTGATGTCTCACCTAAGGTTTGAACCCGCACCATCCAGTGTTGCAGTCAGACACGTTACCACTGAGCTACTCAGGCTGTAATTGGCCTCCTTCAGGCCTGGATTACCCCATATTTGGCTGGATACTGTAGGGACAACAATAAGTTGGTGTCTAGTCCTATTTACTCACCGAGTTCTGTTGGTCATTTTGCAATGTCGTCATCAGGCTAGGAGACTTACCATCATGATGCACTGAAAGGGATGTTAGTTGAATTCAGGGAATCGGCATAAAGCTCTACTTGACTTCGTTTTCATGCTTTCACATCTGTTTGTGACAAAAAAGGAGATGACTTCATGCCGAAAAGTATATACAGAAAACCAACAACTAAGGCACAGTATACACACTTTCCCAGCTTTGTGCCAGTGAAGTGCAAACGTAATATAACCAGATGCCTAACATTTAGAGTAAGATTGATTTGTTCCAAGGAGTGTATGAAAGAAGAACTACTGCGTTTTGGTGATATTCTAGGCGAAAATGGGTAACTGGATAAGTCTATCAAAGCTAACATCATTTGGAGTAATCTCAAGGGAGGATTGATGATAGTGGAGAAAAAGCCTTTGTTTCTAAGATTACAATTCAAAGGAGACACTGTACATGACATTCTTTCACAACGTCTAACTAGATCACTCAATAGAACGTTTTAGACAGGTTATCTTTAAGTATCTTTCAACAGCCAGTAAATGTTGAATATCATACTTATGTATAGCCTACCTAATCTTAACTCTACATTTTGCACATGTCAGTTAAACTATTCCTGTGGAGTGAATTACATAGCGCGTACAATTAAGCAGGCGCTACTCCAGATACGAGATTTACAGGTTTGGTTTGGAAAAGATAAAGTGAAAAAGATGGAACATTCTGCCCCATCGTATTTGAAAAATAATACCATGTGTAGCTCACTAACGTCTAATCAAGATAGCTGACTCTATAAAAACAAGATTGAACAAACCTGAACTTTGCACTCTTCGTTCAGACTACTGTTTTATTAATAAATGTATATAGCCTGTCTTAAATACAGCGTAATAAATGATTCGTAATTTAGATAGAACCAGGGAAATAGGTAAGATAATGAGTTGAGGAAGTATTGAAGGCAAGAATTACCACTTGCAATCGAAACACAGCATATTCAGCGACGGTTTATACACAAAATTAAAAGATGATGAGTGTTCACAAGCTGGTGAACAACCAGCTGTAAGACAATGGAAGTGCCCACGAACTACCAGGTCACTTTTGGAAATATGCATAAAAATCGGTTGCTTTACCCTCTCTAGGATATATTACTGTAGGATACAGAACTAAGTTACATTTTGTTAGCTAGCAATAAACATTGTTAATTCAAATCAGCATTTTAATAGTGAATAAGAAGTGGAGAATAAGAAAGTCAAGAGTTTTCCATGGATCTGTCATTCATTTCCAAACAATTCACGGTCCCGAAATAACTACTTATTGGTAAATGTCAGTTAGTTTATAGAATGCCGAGCCTAGAAGATTTGGATTTCGCCGATGATGATTTATGTTTAATGTCTAATGTTGCACAAACTCGAAGATCTACAGGCGAAAACCAACAAGTTGACAGAAGAGGCAGCGAAGAGAGGACTTGAAGTGAATATAGAGAAAACGGAGGTGATGAAGATATCCAACCAACAACAGCATGAGCAACAAGCACCAATCACCATTAACGGGAGAAACCTAAAGCAAGTAGTCTCTTCCACCTACCTAGGCAGCACTGTTTCCAGTACAGGCGGCACAGACGAGGACGTCAAACCGTTATTGGAAAAGCAAGACAGACTTTCTCTAATCTGAAATTACTATAGAGATCTACTACAATGCACTCAGCATAAAGCCTGAACAACCTCCAGATTTTCAACACCAATCCAGTCAAGTCAGTGCTTCCATATGGTTCAGAAACTTGGCGTGTCACGAAAAGCATTTCCAACAAACTGCAGACATTCATTAACAGCTGCCTATACTGACTCGATACTGAAAATCAGATGGCCAGAAAGAATAAGCAACAAGGAACTCTGGGAACGAACCAACCAAGAACTTATCCCCAACAAATATGCAGAGGAAGATAGTGAAGATGGATTGGGCATACACTGAGAAGGCCGATTGGGGACATCACGCGCTAGGCCAGACACTCGAGTGGAATCGACGAGTTGAGCGTCCAAGGGTGACATAGAGAAGATGATGTAAGGAAGAAATGGGCAGTAGTGCAGCGAGGTTCAAAAGACTGCAGAGGACAGAGTGTAGTGGGGGCGTGTTACTGAAGCCCTATGTTGCACCAGGAACCCAAGGGAAAAATAATAGATAATTGTAGAATGCTAATTTCTGAATATATGATCGCTTACTGCCCTGTTTGAGACTTTAATTCTAACCTACACATAATATGGATTTTAGGACTATTCAAGCAACTACTGAAATAAGTAATTGTTTGTCTATTTTACAAAAATCTACTACTTCCATCCAAAACTAATGAACTTAGTTGATCACTTGTTAGTAGTTTAGATGCGGCTGATAGAAAGCCCTGTGCACCATAGATTTTGCTCTTGTTGACACTCCTCAGCAAAGTGTATCTGAATCTCTGATAGAAGTAATATTGTTTCTCCTTGTTGATCAAATTGGACTTCAATGACCGGTTCATATTCGCGTACGAATATCTCGGAGGGCGATTTCTTTTTTAAATGAAGGGAAATAACATGCTACAAAAGTAAAACTGTACGTGTTACACAAGAAGTGGCTATTTTATCCCAGTAACTTATTAGTTAATACTTAGGTATTTAAACTGATGGATGCCGTGTTCGACTGTCAGTAGGAGTACCATCACTCATTGGGAGGCAAATGCATCCAACTGATGAGTTTTGGATAGGACGAAATATGCATACTAAACTTCACTGCTAGCCTGCATCAATCTCCTTCATATCATTTATTGTTACTTTAAAAAGAATAGTGAGACTTGTTAAGCATTCTTCAATGAACTCAGGATAGAAGGTAAAATTAACCATCTAATTGGTTTTTTGTTTGTGATCTATATTTACTGAGACTGAAAACTGTATGCGAAATTCATCACATATTCACTTACGTTTCAATTCAACACATTTGGCAACACTGAGGCCTCTTCCTCAAACCCCATTTTGTTTTAATATGAATCCTTTATATTATTCCATCATTACTGTTTACCAAATGAATTTACAGTTCAGATCTTCTAAAATATACTTTAAAATGCTTCGTAGTAGAATTCTCAGGATATGTGTATTCTCTATTAGAAGAAACTTCAATAATTATTGGAGATTCTTTGAAATATGATATCTTTACTGTGGTTAATAACATTTTTACTGGGTTTATGGTGAACAGAAGAGATGCGATTATGCGTTAGATTTCAATCGATCTGCATGTTGACGTTCAACTGTCAGCTGTCAAGTCCTGAAAACCACAAACATACACACACACATTGTTATTTCAAAGTTGTTAGCTGACAACAAATGGCTATGAAATAAGATTATACAATATTCGCTGTGGAACTTTGACTTTTGTGATAATTTATTGTTTTATCCATTTAGAAGACATTGTCAGCAGAAAAGAAAACGAAATTTCCACATCCTTTTTGTAATAGATTATATTTAACCTTCATAGGAAAAAATACTTTGCCAAGACATTAATTTTATGGTATTATTTCGTAACCACTTTTTATCATTTCTATCGTTTGATCAACCAATCATTGTTCCATAGGTTAACATTTAGCAGAGACTATCACCCAATCATTAATTGTTTTACCCATTTTGTGATCTGAGTGACTAAGTTTATCTTTTTTTTTAACATTCTATGCATTTTTTTTACGGGAAAAACTGATGAATTTTAAATGGAAAGTCGGAAAAGAGGTTTCTTAACGATTATTTCATCTTCTATGAATGTCTACTACGTAGTTTAGATAAATACAAACACAGAGGTCAATCACTTCATTCCGGTAGTGACATTTGGAAATCACAAGTAACAGTAAACAACAATTGATACTTACTTATTGTACAATAGGTGGCTGTCACGTGTCACCAGTTTGATGAATAACTCTCAGGTATTTGAAATGATAGATACTGGGCTTGAGTTTCAATGGGAACATAGTCACTCAATGAGATCCAGGTACATCTGCCTAGAGAGACCCAAACAGGATGAGACGTGTGTTCCTGGGTCCCACGTTCCTGCCACCTACCACTTACAAATCATAACGCAATGAATCCTGAGGTATTATCAAGATATCTACATAAGAGTCAATATCTAAACAGAAGTTGGTCGCTTCAACCCCGCATAAAAACTGGGAATTTAAAAAAATAATAATAAATGAATATGTAAATAATAAATCGGTCAGTTAGCAGACTTAAAATGTTATTTGCACTTATCAGTTGACTTACAAAAAAGAAAATTCTCATTTCCACAGTTTAGTAACAGTGTTATTGCTTGTATGACACCGTCGTTGATTGGATCGAATTGATCAGTCTCTGCTGGCATATGGGCACCTGTGTGGATACCTCAACATTGCATGTCTTTTAACTATGTATAGT